CACCCCGCAGGGTTGGGCGGAGGAGGACAGAAAGGGCCCACAAACCACTGGAAGCAGGAACAGAGTCCCCGGCCAGCGCTGGACACCAGACCACAGACCCAGGAAGCTCCAGCAAAGGGCAGAGCTTCATGGAAGGTGGAAACTCCTGCTCTGTGAAAAGACCCTGCCAAGGAACGAGGAGGCGAGCCACAGGCCAGGGGACGTGCCTGCACAAGACACGTTCGACAGGGACTGTCCCCAATACATGAAGAACCTGACGGCTTAACCATGCTGGTTGCAGCCAGAGGGACAGACCCTGACAGACGCCTCACTGATGTGCAGACGGCAAGAAAGCACACGGAGAGCTGCTCCTCACCACGTCCTCGTCCTCGGGAACTGCCACCTGCCACTCCCCGGAGGTCACAGCGAGGTGTGGCCAGTGAGTTATCCAAGGGTTTTTCCTAAGGTTAACTTTATATATGCAAATTCTTCATGTTTAGAAACACCAGCGGCTCCTTAAAACGTTGATCTGCTCTTATCTACCAAGATATTTTCTTGCATCTGTTAGGTTTTATTACTTAGGGAAAACATGTCTTAAAGGGACCAGGGTTCAGATGGGTTTTAAAGTCTGTTAAGTGCTTACTTCATAACTGTTAAATAAGCAACTGTTATGTATACATCTGAGAACTGTTTGAGCCTCTTCTAAGTTTTAATGTAAAAGTTATACTTAGTTAATGAGGACATCTGTGACCCTAATCATCACTGGCTTCTCCGTGTGTTAGAAGTATTATGTTCTTTAAGTATGCAAGCCTTTTAAAATGCAAAGCTTAGGAGAGCATTTTACCACATTGGTGTTGCCAAACTAAAATGTCTGTCGCAATGTCTTTTTCAGATTTATAGACAAATGAATTGCAATGATTTAGTTGGTATTGATGTCACTTAATGTTTTGTACATGGATAAGGCAAACTGTTAGCAACTCTTGACACTAGGATGGGAATTTAAATATATTTTTGGAAGGTAATAAGGAGAGTTTGGTTTGCTTAAGAACTCTCTTAGCTTTTCTGTTTGATTTATGCTTCAGGTGTACTGTTTGTTGTATTATGTTTACTGATATTCAGAAAGATTCAGAAAATAGGATGTGGGGACTTTGTAAAGTGATATTTAACTAGCTCCTTCAGTTTTCCTCGACCAGTCGTGCCATCTGCCAGGATGTGTCATGGTCTTGCTGACCCCTGAGGGACACTTCCCTCTCCAATGACCAGCTTCAGAAGCAAAGCACTTTACCTGAGGTGGTCAAGAGCCCTGTCTCTCCTGGCTCTGCCTCTCGCCTACTCAGGGAGGATGGCTCTACAGTAAGCTGGAATCAGGCGCATTTAAAGTTATGTTCAAAGACAGGATTTCTTTTTCTTTTCTTTTCTTTTTTTTTTTTTTTTTGCTGTTGTAAAGATTACTGTGATCTCAAAATGAAGACTGGATATAATACATAACTAGGTAATGGTTTGGGATCATAAAAATTATGTTTTTTGGTGCATACCTATTATGAAACCTGCATATTGGGCTGGGGCTGCTGCTCTGTGGTAGAGCGCTTGCCTCTCATGTGTGAGGCACTGAGTTCGATCCTCAGTACCACATAAAAATAAATAAATAAAGCAGTTGTGTCCATCTACAACCAAAATTTTTTTTAAAACCTGAATATTTTTGTTCTAGTTAATTTAATTTTGTATTTTCCTTGTAAAACTTTATAAATGTTGCCAGTTAGTGTTTTGAAGTAGCATTGCATCAAATAGAATGACCTGAGTTAATTTGAGACAATAAGCCATCGCCTATAGGACATGGTATAATGCTGACTTCCAGTACTAATGTTAACCCCAATTAATTACAGACATTGAAATTAAAACCCAGTACTCCTACTTCAAGGCTGGTGAAACTGACCTGCTGGATGTTTAATCCCAAAACTTGGAGACCAAAGTCAAGGAAGAAAAAGGCTGCCAATATTTTGGCCCTTGCCTGCTAAGGTCAGCAAAGACCCAGGGAATGATGGGACCCTAAAAGGGTCCTGCAACTCAGGAGAGTCACCCAACTTCCTGATCAGGRGGATCATACAGACCCCAGAGAACAGGAAGCCGCCCAGTGCACATTCTGCCAAGAGGAGGGTCATTGGAGAGGGAAGTGCCCTGATGGGTCAGCAAGACCCTGACCCATCCTGGCAGATGGCACAGCTGGTAGAGGAAAACTGAAGGAGCCAGAAGGCTTCTCAGAGGTCCCCAAGAGTGAACTCTGAGGAATCTCCACTGACCCTAAGAGTAGATAGGAACAAGGTCAACTTGAGCACCTGGCAAGAGAGTCTAACCCAAGCACAGCCATACTTGGGCATTTAGAAGAAAAGACAGCAGTTCTTTTAATGTAACAGAGATGGACATTTGTGTCAGCCCTCCCGAAAGCAAGTAAAACTGGGAGGTGATAAAGGAAGGGTCTTCATACTGGAAGTCCTGATCAATATCACAAAAGGCTCTGTCAGGTCACAAGATTGTTCTGAGGCAATTTGAGACAGATCTGTGCCCTTTTTGGCTGGTGTGATTGTCATGAGCTGCTGCTCAGACTCCCCTCCTGGAGTTGGTACTTCATCACGCCAGCCTGGTGACTTGTCTCAATCCAGACCAGAAACAAGACAAGCTTCAGTTGATCTGGAAAGTGCTCCTCGTCACCAGACGCTATCTGAATTGCTAAAAGGGGAGGACTCATTATTATGGGCAATTGCCACCTCAACAAGCTAGTATGTCTAGGATGCAGGGCAGGACCAAAGGGCACAAGAACAAAGGAAAGTGAGCCCCAAAGGTGTAAAGGGGGGTTGTGAGAACTAGGAAGTCCAGTGGTCCATATTCGGAATACAGCGTCCAGCCTGAATGTGATGTCACATCCAGTCATTTTAACTACAGCCCCTCCCTTTCCCGCCCCAATTAGAACTAGCCAGTTGTGTAGGTGTAGCCCCAGCTCCCCCATGAGAGCCAGGGGCAGAGCGTTCTGGGGACAGAGTGGGCGCACTCCGCCCAGGTGTGCTCGTGAGCCAGGTTGGGAAAGGTTTGCCTGGCTGGGCCACTTCCCAGCATGGGCTTGATTCCTTGCTGCACCAGGTATTTCTGACAGTATTTACCCAAACTGAACCCGTGCCCACAAAAGCCTGCACACCGATGTTCACAGGACTTTGTTGACAGTTCCCACCAGGATGCAGGCCAGCCCCCCGCCCGACACCGTGGTGCATGCAGACTGTGTTGTGCAGATGCTGGAGACACMGGTGACGTGGAAGGGCTGCTCCTGACTGCGCCCACCCACAGCCTCTGGAAAAGGCAGGACAGGAGAAGAGGATGGCTCTGGGCCAGAGGCAGGAGGATGGCCAGGAGGACAGCCAGGCGGGGCACAGGGGCCAGAGGCAGGAGGACGTCCAGGCAGGGCACAGAAACACCTCAGGCAGCCAGCCTGGACACAAGCCACTCTGCATCTGCCCAAACGCAGAGGGGATGTGAGAGGAGGGTGGCTCTGGGTGGTGATGTGCCTTCCCGAGTTGGCCGTCACAAGCCGTCACTAAGGGACTACCCTGGCAGGAGAATGGGAGGCTGAGTGGGGCTGGGACTGGGGCCTACGAAGTTCTAGTCTTAAAGTTCAAATTCACTGTGAACCTAAACCACTCCAAAAGTCAATTTCACTTAATTAAGAGGAACACACACTCCCCACAGCCCAGCACTGCGTGCCGGGCCTTTGCTCCACAGAGGTGAAAACACACGAGCACCCAGACGCCGCCCGCCGTGGGAGCAGCTTTATTTGTTGACAGTTTTGATTTTGCTCTGGGGTGCCGGGAACAGAGCCCGGGGCTTTGCATGTGCAAGGCAAGTGCTCTGCCCTGAGCCACACCAGTCCCACGGTGGCTTTTTCCACAGTGACCCCAAACTAGAACCAACCCGTGTCTTTTGCAGGGGGAGTGGCTAAACAAACTCTGGTAGATGTACACCATGGAGTGTTGCTCAGAAATGAGAGGGTGAACTGTGTGCTCACAGTAACCTGGAGGGCCAGGGGCCTGGGAAGACAGCCGTCTCAGCAGGTTGCTGAAATGACAAGACTGTAGAGTCATGTCCCCCGGGAGCATCTTGCCCATCTGTACATCAGTCTTGGCCATGGGGTGGTTTACCGCTCTGCATGTGTGTCAAAAGCTATAGAATTGGGGCTGGGGCTGGGCTCAGCRGTAGAGTGCTCACCTATTATGTGCAAGGCCCTGGGTTTGATTCTCAGCACCACATGTAAATAAATAAAATAAAGGCCCATCGACAACTAGAAATATATATATGTGTGTGTGTGTGTGTGTGTGTATATATATAGCCATAGAATCATGCACGACACACCCCAGAAAACAAGGGCAACCAGAGCTGCTCAATCTGCATGGCCTGGAGTGTGGTGACCGCCTCTTTTTGGCCAGGCGTGGCAGCTGTGCGCGCCCCACCAGGAGGGCAGCACGGTGGCCAGACAAGCCCCTGCACTCCTTTTGTAACTTCCTAATTGTTTCAAAATTAAAAACCAAAAACCAACCAGATCTCAGTAGTTTTCCTGGGCACAGATTAGCAAGCTGACTCTGAAATTCACATAGAGATATCGAGGACCTRGAGTGGCCTGAACAGCCTTGGAAAAGAACCCAGAATCTGATTTCAAGACTTGTGGCAGTTGCTCAGATCCCAGTTGCAAGTTCAAGGCCAGCCTTCTTTTGAGACCCTATCTCAAAAGAAAAAGGAAAAAAAAAAAGAAAGAGGAAAAAGATTACGTCAAAATTTATGATAAAGCTAAAGTAATCAGAATAATGTGCTATTGTCACAAAGTCAAAAAGATCATGTGACTTTTTTTTTTTTTTTTGGTACTGGAGATTGAACCCAGGGGTGGCTTAGCCACTGAGCCACAGTCCCAGCCCTTTTTTATATTTTGTTTAGAGACAGGGTGTTGCTAAGTTGCTTAGGGCCTCACTAAGTTGCTAAGTTTCTGAGGCTGGCTTTGAGCTGGCGATCCTCCTGCCTCAGCCTCCAGAACAGCTGGGATTATGGGCGTGCAGATCRTGTGACTTCTAACAAGTGTGTAAAGGTACAGAGTGGACAAAGGAGACTTCTAGCACACAGCCCATAACAAGTGAGTATCCGTGTGAAGTAAAAAGACCTGTGGTCCACAGCACTCACCATATGCAAAACCAACTCAAAATGGATTGCAGACCGAAAGGTCAACCAAAAATCCATAACAATTTCTAATTAAAAAACAAGAGAGCTGAGCTCTGAGCTCACCACACCCAATGCAAAGCCTTCTGCCCTGCGTGGACACGGTGGGGGCTGCTCAGGCCCATCTCCTGACCTCATCCAGAGCCAGCCTTGGGTGGAGGCCYTTGGACCACCCAAAGACCTCTAGTTAGGAAAGGGAGTGACCTGGGGCCATTGGAATAATGAAGCTGGTGACCATGGGCTTGGGGCCCGGGCAGCCTCCCGGCCATCTTGTGTCAGCCTCGCCACCTGGCTTCTCTGCGGAAGCTCCCCCCAGGGTCAGTACCAGGTGGAATAGCTGCATGAAGAAGGGATCCCTGAGGGCCACACCCTCCAGCCCTGGGCTAGCTGGACCCCCACAGGAAGGAGAGCTTGCCTGTGGCCTCCTAAGGCCCACTGCTGGACAACCAGGCCTCCCCTGACCTGCACTCCAGGCGCATGCCCTCCTCAGGATCTCGCCCCCTCTGGCGTGCTCCCCCAAGGCCACACCCTGGCCACCTCTGCAGTAAGCATCTGGGGCCAGGGGCCACAGCATGTCGGGGGCATACCTTCCTCCCAGGCTGTCCCGTTGGTGTAAGGGTCTGTGATCCCCACTGCTCCCCATCTGAAACCCCCCTGGTCATGCTGACCGGGGCTCCTTGGGGGACCTCAGCCTGGGGGTCTGATGAGGAAGGGGTGAGCCCAGCTGGGACGTGGGCAGCTGGACTTGAGCCTACGGCCACCACGGGGCCCATGCCAGCTGCATGTGGCCTGGCCTGCAGGGGTTAATGGGCTTAGCCACCCTGGGACAGATTCCCCGTGTGGAACCTCCTCTCTGCACCCTGGGGCCGGTTTCTTCGGAGACAACGGCCGTCAGAGCTGTCGCCAGGCAGAACCAGCTGGCCTGGTCCCCAGGGCCAAATGCCAAGGAAGCAGCCAGCCAGGAGGAGCCAGGCATGTGGCCCTAGTGGCAATGGGTGCTAGAGGTGCTGCTCCAGGGCCTCAGAGCTGCCCACACACAGCCAGCAGTGGGGTGCCCTCTCCATCCGGTCCCAGTCCCTGCCCTGCCCTGACGCAGGGGACGGGGAAGGCAACCTGACCCAGCCCGGGAGCCAGGCATTCCAGGTGTGTGTGTGAGGCCCTGCCCTGCGTTGGACTGGCAGTGTTGGCCACTGAGCACTGGTCACTCACCTGCATGCAGTGGTGGGGACATGTGGGGCGGGTCTGTGTCCTCTGGCTGAGGACTGAGCACCTGCTGCCCAGACCCCAGCTAGGTGCCCACCACTGGGTCTCTGTGGCTCCCTGAGCAGCACTCAGACCTTTCCCCATCCCTGGAGCCATGCAGCCAGCCCCCACCTGACCACGAGGAGCCTTAGCCGCCCTCCAGGCTACCCGACCTGTGCTGCCTACCCGGGACCCCTCTTTTCAGGGTCCTGCTCTTCATCCCCTTAAGGGATTCGCCCACCCTCCCTGCCCCCCTGCCCAGCGTCTGCGTCTCAGCACAAACGAAGTCTCCTGCTGTGCTGGTCACGCAGCCACCAGACCCCAGCTGGAGCAGGTCCAAGGGCACAGGACAGCCTGGCCACTTGGTCAGTTCTCAGAAGTCCCATGCCTAGGTTCAGACTTGGCCTGATGCTCTTAAACCCACTGTCCCAGGTCAGGGCAGCTGGGCACCTGCTCCTTGATGGTGGAGCTGCCCCATCTTTCCACAGACACCCCCTGCCCAGCCCTCCAGGCCTGCCAGCCAGGGGAAACCAGATGGGAGGGACACCACTGGAAGAGGCACCCTGCTGAGGGGGGTCAGGGATGGGTGGCATAGCTGTCTGCCTCTGGGCCCCAAACTGCTCCTAGTGTCTTGTCCTCCCTAACTGGGCCACAGGGATGACCTCAGGCTTGCAGGACCTGTAGGAGTGGCAGGAGCCAACTCAGTTGGCCTCGGGCACCAACATTTCCCACACTGCCTTCTTCTTGGCCAGGTGAACCCTGGGGGCCAGCAGCACCCTTGGGGGCAGTGAGCAGCCAGCTTGGGTGAGCAAGTTTTCTTCTGATGGACTTGCTGGCAGGGAGGCCCTCTCTGGAGGTGAACTTCTGACCCCAGGAGGGAAGAAGCCGCTGAGCTTCAAGCTGGCAGGGTGGTTACACTCTGGGGGCTGAGTGGCAGAGCTGGGCTCTACTCCCCAGGGCCAGTCTTCAGAGCCTCACCAAGAGTGGGGCCAGCACTGGAAATGGAAATGAGCCCATCACCCAGGAGGGACTTGAGTGCAGGACCAGTGTGGAATGTGCCGGGCCCCATGCCTGGGCCTCTTCATTGTGGCCATCTGCATGAGTTGGCCATGGCCAGGCTGGRAAGAGCACATGGACAGCTTGTTCCCACCCCTGGCGGCATCAGGTCACCTAGGCAGGGCACCCTTCCTCAGCAGCCGACCAGGCCAGGCCTGAGCAGGGGATGTGGAGAACTGAGGTGGGCTTAGGACACTGGACGGCAGGCTCAGAGGGAGTGGCAGGCCTGTGTGCCTACGTGCACCAGCAGGCAGCTCAGGGATCCTGGCCCTACCCACCACACTCTCTCATGGGTGCCCCACCAGTGACCTGCCTCAGGACAGCCTGCCTTTGTCTGCACGTCCACTTTCCATTCTGTGTCCCTCTAGGCCGCATTCTGTATGATTTCTCCTGACAGCTCTTCTAGTTCACCTGCTCTCTCTTCTTTAGGGTCTGAGAGTAGTTGCCAAACTGCTCCTTGAGGTGGGGGGGGTGGGGCATGGTCATTTCTAGACAGTCCACTTGGTCTTTTCAAACCTGCCAAACAGCTGAAGTTTCTCGTTGAGCATCAGCACTTCCAGTCCTGTGAGCACAGAAAGCACACTTGTTTATAATCTGGTAATTTTTCCAGTGCTGAGGATGAAACCCAGGGCCTGGGTTTCATGCTAGGCAAGCGCTCAGCCACAAGCCACACCCCAGCCCTTGGATCTGCTCCTGAGCAGCCCCAGGACATGCCCCAGGCCTTTGCAGGCCCTCGGGGCTCGTGGTCATGGCCAGACCCCCGCCCCCCCAGTGCCAGGGTTTGCTGTGCTCTGCTCATGGACACTGAAAAACCACTTGTGGGGCAGGCAGACAGAGGCCTAGGACAGAGTCATGTTTGTTTCTGCTAGGCACCTAGGGGACCCCAGGTCAGGAAGACACCGTTTAGAAGGAAACTCAGAGCTGAGGAAAATTTGGCCAACCTGGTGGTGGGTATGCAGGTCTCGTGGTGTCCACTCAAGTCCTGGCATGAACCACACACAACTCCTCAGGGCAGACTTCCCACCTGGACTGCCCAATGGCTCCTCCTGGGGACAAGAGAGGAGGAGGGCTTACCCCTAGGGTCCAGCCAACAGTGAATAAGCTCCCCCCACCAGCTCCTGCGCCTGTTCCTGCAGACCTGGCCTCACCTAGAGAAGCAGCTGGCAGGAGGACACAGGTCAGAACATGGAGACCACGCTCACGGCAGTCAGAGCTGCGGATCCCTGGAGAATTCCCACAGAAACAACCCAAGGACAGGTGTCCAGAATAATCCCTCGTGGTGGCCAGCAGGTCAGGTCACCCAACAAAATGTACAGAGAAATCGCTCTCCAGGGCTCCCGTGGGGCTCCTTCTTCCTCAGCCATGGCTCCTGGCTTTGCTTCTCACCCTCCACCAGCCCCTGCCCCTTGCAGGAGGCAGAACAGCTTGTGCACACCTGGGAGATGCCCTGGGTCAGCCGGACACACAGCCACTGTCACGGGGCTGTGCCTTCCCTCAGGTGCAGTGTGGAGCTCAATCAGGACCCAGATGTTTTTGCATTGCTATGTAGATAGTTCATAAAGTCCTTTCTTGGCTATTAGGAGGTGGGATGCCAGGCACCCAAACCCCGTCCAGGAGGAGTCCACCAAGCCTGCGTCAGCCACCACAGGGCACCAAGGCACTCCAGGCCAGGGCCACCTGTGGGGCCCCAGACCAGCAGGGCCACCTGGCCCGACACCCGCCACACCCCACTTTCCTGCACCTCTGCCCCAACTCCAAATAAAAAAGCAACAGCACCCAAAGAACAGGGAGGCCAAAGCGTTTAAGTTATTAAATCAAATATACAGAGTGATTCATTTAATATGTACATATGTACAGAAATGCACTTTCACCAGGGGCCAGGGTCAGCAGGTGGGCAGCGGCCTGGCGCCCACAGCGAACGCTGACAGTTGCAGGGGGTCTATGTGAAGGCACTTGTCACAAGCTTCAGTGCTGCCGCGTCCCAGAAGGGGAAACCGAGCAGCGGGAAAGGGCACTTCTGAAAGCACAGTGCGGCGATCTGAGGGCAGTCTGGGCAGGAAGCAAGGACGGCAGGCGGACGGGCCCACGCCGGGCAACACCTCTGCCCCCAGCCGCAGTCACGCAGGACCTCCAGTCCCACCGACCACCAGCAGCCACAGGTCCCAGCGACAGCCGGGGCCCACACAGACAGCCAGAGGCTACCTGTCAGCCCTGGGTCCCAGCCATAGCCACAGACCCCACTGTCAGCCACAGGCCCCACGAGAGCCAGGGGCCACACAGCCATGGACCACACAGATAGCCAGGGGCCACACAGCCATGGACCACACAGATAGCCGAGGCCACACTGTCAGCAATGGGTCCCAGCGACAGCCACAGGCCACACAGATGAGAGCCAGGGGCCATGCTGGCAGCCAGGGCTCTTTGGTCTGGAGCCATAGAGAAACCCAAGTGAGGAATAAAAAAGAAGATTCTGTAAACAGCACACAGCCTCTGGTGACAAAGGCCATACCACCCGGGGAACACGCTGCCCGCTCCTGCCACACAGCACGTGCCACGCAAACTTTACAAAAATAGCCACTATCTGAGAATACTCCGCTGTTCTCTGCCTGACAGTCATCGAATAATTTATACAAGGTTAAAGAAATGTAGAAAATAAACATTTTTTTGTTTTTGGTGGTTTTTTTTACACAAAATAAAGAAACTATGCACATGGCCTCGGCCTCCCGTGGCTGGCAGGTGGCGGGGCCCCGGCGAGGGCTCCTAGGTCCCGGCCAGCGGGTGGCTGTGCCTAGTCCTTGACAGCACAGGGCACGTCCGTGACATTCCTGACGGCGCGGTTGTCCACTTTGGGGCCTGAGGCCCAGAGGGCAGGCCTCCCCAGCGAGCTGCTGGGCTCTTTGGTGAACTGACTTGAGAGGAACTTCTCCGCCTCCAGGGAGTCCACCTCTCTGCGGCCCAGCTCCTCGTCCTCCTCCTCGTCCCCAGCGCCCCGGAGGCCCGCGGGGCCGGGCAGCGCCTCTCCCGCCCTGCGTGGCGGCGTGAAGTTCTTGCACTGGTACAGCACATCCTTGTGGCTCCCTCCACCTGGGCCCCCGCCCGGCCGCTCGATGGGGTTCCGGATGGGGTTGAGTGGGGCCCACTGGTTGTTGGCGCTCTCATCCCGGGGCAGACGGCTCCTCTCCCGCTCTTTCCTGCGTTTCCGTGTCCACCACACACAGATGACCACACAGGCTAGCCACAGCACACTGAACACGCTGCACAGCACGGGCACCAGCAGACCTGGGCGAGGGAGGGGCTGAGGAGCTGCTGGGGCACCTCCCCCTGGGAGGCTCCCTGTCCCCCACCCAGCCCTCTGCGCCTGACCTGCCCGGAGCCTTCCCACTGGTCTGGGGTCCTGCTCACCTGTGGAAGAGCTGCCCATGACGACCGTCTCCACCTTGACCTCGGTGACCGCCAGCAGCAGGGAACTATTGCCCCGCTGTGTGATAGCAGCCACAAGGGCATGGGCTGCACTCTGGATCAGGCTGCTGTCCGCCAGGTCCCGCGCAGGGCTGAAGGACTGCAGCAGAAGATGGCCTGTGGGGACGGCTGGGGACACACTGCTCTTGTCCCTGAAGCCTGCCCCAGAAGGCCTAGGCCCTGGCGAGGGGGCCACCAGCAGGGGGCGCCATAACCAGGGCTGTGCTGCCCGTGGTGAGGGCCTGAGGGAGCCTGGGGCCCAAGGCTTCCCTTGTGGGGGGCTCATGGGAGAAGAGCCCCTGACCCAAGTGCTGTGCAAACCAGCGTTGTCCCCAGGCCTCGACCTCTGCCCATGCGCCCACGCTGGTACCCAGTCTGCACCTCAGGAACTTTCCACCCTTCACTCTCCCTGACCACTGTCCCTCCCTTGTCGGGCATCCCTTCCTGTGGAACCTTCCCCTTGGTCAATCCCACCAGCTGACAGCTGACAGCCACTTCTTCTAGGGCATGCCCCTACCTAGGGCCCCTCCCCAACAGCCCGACCTCTGTGGCTTCAGATAGCACACACAGGAAAGGACTTCTGCCACCCAGCTGATGGGGTGCTGGCCATCACTGTCCATGCCTCTGACCCAGCACCTGCCCAGCCTGCTACCTGCTGACCCACTTCTGCCCATTCTGCCTCTGCAGCCCAGGCCCAGCCCTGACTGAGACCTGAGTCCCCCAAAGCCTCTGTTCACTCCTTCCACACCACACAGGGCAGCCACTGCCCTGCCCACAAACAAGCTCCCTGTGGACCGCTTTTGGGTGGACCTGCTCTGGACCTGTCCCTTGCCTCTGGCCCTCAACAAGCTGACTTCACAGCCTCCCACAGCCATCAGCCCCTGCAGTCTCTCCAATCTAGCACATCCTGGTATCCTGTCATCACGTCCTCCAACCTTGGCCCTCCCACCCTTCCAGGGGCACTCAGATCCCAGGTGGACGTCCCCAGGTGGAAGTCCCCAGGTGGATGGCCGTCCAGGCCCACAGTGTACCCACTGCTCTGCCCTCCTGCCCTGCTGACACTTCTCCTCAAGCCTCCTTGGTTCCAAGGGACTTCAGCATGTCACAGGACCCCTAAGGGCTCAGGATGCACTTACCATGGCCACCTCCACTGCACTGGCCCCTGAAGAGGCCCGGTCACAAAGCAGCAGAAGCAGGCGGTCGTGGGCCACTGCCCTTGTGGCAGGCAGAGAGCGGATCCCAGAGCAGATGGCGTCCACGGTGGTGCCCTGCAAAAGTGGGCAGCAGGTGAGTGGGGCCTGGGACTGGCAGCCTGAGGCCAGCAATCCCTCAGTGGCCATTGGATCATGGTGAGACACACCTTGCAACCTACCAGGGGAAGCAGAGCAGACCAAAAGGGCTGGCCCTGCAGCGCCCCCCCCCCCCAGTCCTGGGGCAGCAGGTCCACCCAGGGAGATGGGGAGGGGAGGAGGGGCTGGAGGGGCTCAGGTTCTGAGACCCCAGGGGGATGGGCAGGTCAGCTCTGGGCACCCAGACGACTAGGGCAGGACCTTGGCAGGAAGGAGAACTATCCACAAAGCTGCAGGCAACAACCCAGATCAGGGCAGCCCACAGCCACCTGTGGTCCAGGACCCAGATGGCCGGGTAAACAGGAAGCCCAGCCTGGACCTGCTCTCCCAGCCTCCCCCATGCCCAATGGCACCCAGGATGTAATGACCCCTTCATCTGAGTCCACAAGAGCACAGGCAGCCCTGGGCTGTGGGAGCTGTGCACCACTTACCCGGGGCACCTGGTCACCATCGAAGCGTAGTGTAAGGCGTGCACAGTTGTTGTCCAGGTGACCAGAGCGYGGCAGGCAGGGTGTGCTGGGTGGCAGGTGCTCCCCTGCACCACACTCCCCCCAGGCCTCGCAGGGCGGCTGCAGGCACTGGCCTGGGGCCTTCTCTCGGCACTGCTGCCCGGGCGGGCACTGGGCACTGAGGGCGGCAGGCTGGCCAGACAGCAGACAGGGCTTCCACCCACACCACACCTGGAGCAGGCATGGACACCACGGGGACAGGAACCGATGGTTGGGTCAGCGGGTCCACCATGCAGCCCTTTCCCCACCCTCCAGGCCCTAGGAGCCAGGCTGAACACCACAGTTCAGAAAGCTTTTCCACCCCGTGAACCCAGGCTCAGCCTCAGTTTCCCCAGCTGCACAAGGAGGGGTGGGGCCTGGCTGTGCCCAGGGGCCCTCCCAGAGTGTCTCAGAAGTAGGCACCTYCAGCCCTGACCCAGCCCCGCCCAGCCTCCGGACGTCTCGGAGCAAGCCTGGGGACTGCGGATGCCTGGGGTGGGCAGCTCAGCAGGCCCAGCAGGGCAGGCAGGCCCGCGGCTCCAGGCCGGGCCCCACCTTGCTGCAGTCTCGGTGCCCGTCCGTGCAGCGGCAGCTGTTGCAGTCTTCCAGCCAGGAGCTCCCGTGTGGGAACGGCGTGCCCCGGGACCAGCAGGACCTCCCAAACCCTGTCACTGCCAAAGAAGAGCGGGGTCACAGGGGGTGTCTGGGCCCAGCCCTGCCCAGCACCACCCCCACCAAGCCTACCTTCCTGGCATCGGGGGCCAGCTCGGCCAGGTGGGCAGCTGCAGCGATACCCGTCGATCTCATCCACACACGTGGCCCCGTAGGCACAGGGTGAGGACTGGCACTCGTCGATGTCTGCGAGAAAGTGGCTGGCACTCAGGGGCAACAGGCTGGCACCAAAGCAGGGCCTGGGATTTGGGCAGGGTCCCCATGGGAACAGCCCTGGGCCTGCCAGGCTCCCTCAGCAGGGCCACCTGCCCACAGCAGCCTAAGCTGGGCTAGCGGCTGCCACTGTCACTCACCAGCCTGAGGCATTCCCACCCCCACAGCCCTCCATCTGCCTCTGGGACGGGCAGGCACAGGGGTCTCCAGGCACCAGGCCTTCCTGGATATTGCACTGCCAGGGTCGACCCGGTGGACAAGGGCCCTGGGCCACAGCTAAGAGGCTATGCTGTGCCTTTATGGCCCCCTGCCTCCCCTCATGATCCTCAACTGGTCCAGGGCAGGGCCACCACTTTGTCACTGGAGGCATGCCCTAGGACACAACAAGACACATAGCTGGTGCAGGAGAAGCAAGACGCGGGTGTCTGGGTCCCCGACCTTGACACCCAGGCTGGCTGGAGGGCCCCCAAGGTGGCAGCTCACACCCTGCGCCCACCCAGCTCGCCTAGGCTGCTCACTGATGCGGCAGTCGGGGCCCGCGAAGCCAGGGGCACACTCGCAGCGGAACCAGTTGACCCCGTCCACACAGAGGCCACCGTTGTAGCTGCAGGGAGAGGGCGGGCGTCAGGGTGTCCCTCCCCCAAAGCCTCCACCCCACCTCGGGGCGCCACTCACCAGGGCAGAGGGTTGCAGTCATTGGTGTCTGGATTGAGGGAAGAGAGACCATTGGTCCAGTGGCCACCTGCCCAGCACACCTCCAGCCAGACCTGGGTGCCCAGGCTCATGGGCAGACAGACACTGTCCACACCAGCCCCCCAGGCTGTGGGGCAGGAGAGTGGTGGAGGAGTCCAGAGTTCAGGCAGGGCCGCCAAGGAGGTGGACAAGGGGCCTGTGAGCAGGAGCCCTAGGCTGCAGGGGGAGGGCTTGGGCAGGAGGGCCCCTCTGGGGGAAGGGTGGGCCTGGGCAGGTGGTGGGAGGAGGAGGAGGTCTGGGATAGGAGTCTGATGGAGAGATGTGGACCCCCCCACACACTGGACAGCCCGCTCCCCAGCTCACTGTGCGTGCAGGTGCGGCCTTCCCAGCCCTCCCGGCAGATGCAGGAGAAGGAGTCCCCGCTGCCCACGCAGGTGCCCCCGTTCAGGCACGGGTTGGGCAGACAGCTGCTATTCTCAGCTGTGGGAGGGAGGCACGGTTGGCTCAGACCCCAGCCCGGTTGGGGCAGCAGGGACTGGGCGGCTGTGTGCAGTGGGTGGGGGCTCCTCACCAATGGTGCAGGTGCTGCCCTTCCAGCCCGGGGGACAGGCGCAGCGGAAGGTGTCCCCGCTGTCATAGCAGGTGCCGCCRTTGCTGCAGGTGTAGGCGTCACACTGGAACTCGCCTGCGGGCACACGGCGGCTCAGCAGGCAGGCCCGGCCAGGGCAGGGTCCCGGCGGGCAGCTGCAGCCGCGCACTCACGCGAGTGGCAGGTCTTGCCCTTCCAGCCGCCATCGCAGGCGCAGTAGAAGTCGTTGACCAGGTCGTGGCAGCGGCCGCGGCTGTGGCAGGGGTCGGGGAGGCAGTCGTTGGAATCTGGGGGCGAGGACGCCGGGTCAGCGGGAGCACCGGCGGGGGGGAGGGGCCAAGGACCCCAGCCCACCTGCCTGGAGGGGCGCAGGCTTGCGGGGGGCGGAGTCAGGCCCTGGAGGGGCGGGACCGCACTCACTGATGTCGCACAGCTCGCCCTCCCAGCCACTGGGGCAGAAGCAGCGGAAGGCGTCCACCTCGTCGATGCAGGTGCCCCCATTGCGGCAGGGCTGACCCAGGCAGTCGTCAATGTCTGTGGGAGAGGGCGCGTGAGTCCCAGCGGCTGGCCTTCCCACCCCCTGCCCCTGCAGATACTCACTCTCGTGGCAGTAGGTGCCGGTGAAGCCGCTGTCGCAGACACAGGAGAAGTTCCCCCCGGGCTGGCTGACACAGTGCCCGTGGGGGCCACACACACCGGAGGGCCTCGAGCCAGGCACCCGGGACCCTGCCTCCAAGCCGCAGCCATCGATTACTGTGGCAGAGGGACAGCGGTCAGGCCAGGGGTGCCCGGGCTTGCCCCACCCTGACCCCACTGGGCCTGAGGGCTGCGCCCTGCACCTCTGCAGCCTCCACCAGGGCAGGGCGCCCTGGGCACCGAGCAGTTCTTGCCGCCAAAGTCCTCAGGGCAGGCGCAGTAGTAGTCGCCCTCCAGGTTGTAGCAGCGGGCACCATTCAGGCAGGGGCTTGGCTGGCAAAGGTCCACGTCCACCTGTGGCCCAGGTGGAGCATGTGTGAGAGCCCAGCCCCGACGGGGGCACCGCCAGGCCTGTGTTCACCTGAAGGCAGATCCCTGGGGAGCCCCAAGGCCAGGCCACTGCTTCACCTAAATGACTTGACGCCCAGCCCCAGGCTGGGCAGTGCCAGCCAGAGCCTGGAGGGAGGCCTGCCTGCTTGAGACCACACTGGCCGTCAGCTGGACGGAAACACCTGTGGGTCCCAGGGCCCTCCCAGCCCCTCGCCTCCACAGCCAGAGCTTCCTCTGCCTCCCACAGCAGCATCCGGCCTCAGCTCCTCCCGCTGGCAGGAAGGCTAGCTCCCGACCCCACATGCCAGGCGCCCTCAGAGCCAACACTGCAGGTCCCTCCCCGGGTCACTCCATGCTCACAGACCCAAAGCCAGGCCTTTGTTGGGCAGAAGGCCAGAGCAGAGGCCAGTGTGGCCAGGGCCGGGGGGGGGGGGGGGGGGGGGTCTAGGGAGTGGCGGGGAGGAGGGCTCCAGGGAACGTTCACTGCTGCTCAGGACCCACTGTGACCCATGACACCCTCACGCCCAGGCACCCTGCCTGACTTGGGGCCCTCTCAGGTTGCCCACCTGCCCCCTCCATCAGATGGGCTACTCTACCCAGTCAGGCTCTCAGGGACTTGGGGGACCAGGTGTGGGGGACACTCCTGGGCCACTCTGGGGAGCTCCCACTGCAGCCCCTGCAGGTCCCTCAGGTGGCAGCACGGCTTGCAGCAGGCCTCACCTCGCAGAAGAGCCCTGACAAGCCCTTGGGACAGTGGCAGCGGAAGCCATCCACCAGGTCCTCGCAGATGCCACCCCCACGGCAGGGGCTGCTGGCACACTCGTCACGCTCCAGCTCGCAGTGCCGGCCTCCAAAGCCGCGGGGGCACAGGCACTGGTACCCGTCCACCAGGTCCTGGGCGGGGCATACAGGGCCATGAGGCAAGTGCCTCACAGCCCTCCCGCCCAAGCCACCTCCCGGCATCCCAGGGGCAGCGGCCACAGTGCCCTACCTTGCAGGTGCCACCGTGCTGACACTGCCCACGACAGTCATTGACATCTGGGGGTAGAGGGTCCAGGTCAGGGTCAGGGCCCCCGGCATGCCCCAGCCCCACCCGCCTGCGCCCACCCATACTGACTGATGTGGCAGTTGATGCCCTTCCAGCCCGGGATGCAATCACAGTAATAGCCGCCAATCAGGTTTTTGCAAGAAAAAGCATTAAGGCACGGCTTCCCTTCACACTCGTTGGCGTCTGTGAACGAGAAGGGAGCCGTGGGGCTTGGGCCCCACCTGCTCACTGCACCCTGCACCCGGCGCCCGCAGCCCAGCAGCAGCCGCAGCCACATGCACAGCCTGATGTCCATGCGCACGTGGCCCCGGGCAGCCCTTACCCAGCTGGCAGGTGGCCCCCACCCACTGCTCAGGGCAGATGCACTCGAAGCCGTCCACCTGGTCCACACAGGTGCCGCCTGCTGCACAAGGGTTCGAGGCGCACTCGTCAACGTCTGTGGAGGGGGAGAGGCAAGGCGTGTAGCACGGTCTGTGTGGGGAGGGGCGTCCCCTGGTGGGAAGCAGGGCTACATGCCTGGATCTGCCTGCCACTGGATGTCCTGGCCATGGCATCCATACTGCTCTCCCCAAGGTGCTGTCCTGATCCGGAACCCCTCAGGGCCACCCCAGACACATGCATAGGCACTCACCCAGCGCACAGGTGGGCCCACTCCAGCCTGATGGGCAGTGGCACTCGAAGCCAGATGGCACCTCATGGCAAGAGCCCCCATTGGCACAGGGGTTGGAGGCACAAGCGTGCTCAGCTGCAGAATCAAAGTGGGGGTGAAAGGGTGGCACCCAGGACCCACTGCTGAACGAGGGCTCCTCCCCGGCCCACAAGGCCCAAGGCCCAAGAAGTGCTCCCCAGAGACCAGCCCTAAGCCTGGCCAGAGTTCTGGGGTGGCTTGGCAGCGTACCCCGCTCGCAGTTCTTGCCGGAATAGCCATCAGGGCAGGCGCAGTGGTACTGGTCAGGCTCAGCGTTGATGCAGGTGCCCCCGTTGACACAGGGGTGGTGGTTGCCACAGTAGTTCAGGTCTGGGGGCATGGACAGTTCCTCAGGGACAGAGCCTGCAGTTCCCACTTCTAAGCCGGGGTCTGGCCTCCACCCCTGCCCCTTCCCCACCCCAGGCTACCTTTATCACAGAGCAGGCCACCCCAGTTGGTCTCACAGTCACAGTGCCAGGGCTCCACGCAGCTGCCGTGCACACAGCCAGGGTAGGGGACACACTCGTCACAGAATCTGCCCTGCCAGCCATAGCTGCACCTAGGGAGGCCAAGGTGTAAGGTCCATGAGTGGCGGCTGAAAGTGGCTGAGAAGCAGACAGTCATGCAGGCCACCCCAGGGACAGCGGTCTGGCTTTTGAACCAGAGTGGCTTCAAGCCAGGTTGGGGTTAGGAACCTGCCGGCCAGCCACTGCCATGGGCACTCCCGGCTGCTGGCTGTGGACACTCGGCCCCAGCTGTCCCGTCACTCCTCCCCGAGCTATTCTGGGACTCAACCCTGAGCCAGCCCCAAGCACAGGCGCCGGCAAAGGAAGGCCCTGCCCACCGGGGTGTGCACACCAGCTCCCACTCACCAGGTGCGCCAGGCCTGGCAGCTGGCAGCTGCTACGGGGCCCAGGCAGGCCGGCCAGGCATCAGGAGAGGCTCTGCCCACCCTGGCCGTGTGACCCCGGGCATGCACATGACCTTGCTGCTACTCAAGGCCAGTAGTTGTGTCTCAGTGAAGCCCGTGAAGGGCATGCCTCAGGAATGCTGTGGCCACAGGCTGCCTGGGCAGCCCTGCTGAAGGCCACATGGGGAGGCTGCCGCACCAGAGGAGCTCCCTGGAAAACGGCCCCAAGGGCCCCTTGGTTCTGAGGCCTTGATGCTTAGGCTGGGCTCTGCCCCTGCTGCCCACCAGTGTCCCCTCTGGCAGCCCTTCAGGTGTGCAGGCGACACAGAGCCACCAGGTCAGAGTGCCTGGGGTCCTACAGCAGACGCCCTAGGTCCCAGTGGGCTGCTCTCCAGGCCCCAGGGGGACTCCAGGGCCCTTCCCTACAGCACTCATGTCCCACAGGACGGGAATGACGTCCAGGCCTCGTCACTTCCACGCCGGCACCTGCCACGAGTTATTTTTATAAGAGGAAAGACCACAGCCCTTCCTGAGCTGCCCTCGGCCCGAGGGCAYGGGCCCAGCTCACCCAGGCTCACAGTTGGGAAACTGAGGCTGAGAGCAGGGGGCTCCAGGGTCCAGCCCAGGATGCGCTGGGCAGGTCCATGAGGCCTTGGGCCCCACCTGGCGTCCTCCCTCCAGGTGACACTGGGAGATGAGGCTCAGGGTGGGGCCATGACTTGCCTTGGTTCACCCGCCAGGGAGTGCAGGGCCGGGCTCGGAGCCCAGACCTCGTGGGTCCCAAGGGCACGCTCTTGGCCCTGGGCGGGGCAGCCCACGCCACGCAGCTTCCCGCCAGCAGCTCCAGGGCCTGGGGAGGCGGCAGGAAGGCTCAGCCATCTCCCRTCTCCGCAGCAGCATCCGGCTGGGGAGGGGAGTGTCCTCCGCTGAAACCTGAGCCTGGGCTGCTGGAAGCAGCTGCCTCACCACAGGGCCAGCAAGAGGGTGGGTGGGGCTCACCTACTGGCCCCAATGCTGTGGCCGTGAGGGGATGGCTGTTCTTCCATCTCCTCCTGCCTCAGTTGGGCATTCAGGCCACGCAGCTACCAACCACCAGGGACACTGGTACAGCTGTCACAGTGGTGCACTGCACACAGAGACCAGGGCTCTGACCGAGTTCCCCACCCACCTCCAGCACAGGTCACAAGGGAGGGCTGAAGTGGAGAGAAAAAGCCATGCCTGGGCTGAGTCATGAGGCCACCCCTCACCCCAGGATGTGGCACCTGGTACCCCTCACAGGACATGGGCTCACTCTGGGCCAGAGCCTCCTGTGTTCCCTGCAGGGCCTTGAGACCACCAGCTAGTCTGAAACCCCATTATGTTCAAGGGACAGCCCCCAACCTGGCTCCCCTCCCTCCCTGGGACTGAGCGGGGCTACTGATCCATCTCTTGGCCAAGGCACCTCCGTCCCCAGCCTCGGTCCAGCCCCAAGCCCTGAGGTCCCTTCCCTGCAAACTTGGTGCTGTGTGACCTTTTCTGCTTCAGTGTCCTGGACTGGAGCRCACCTGGCCCTCAGGGGAACCCTTCCAAGGACACCTGGAGGCTCCACGCAGCCTCCCTCCAACCGTAGACCCTCTTCTCCAGCGGCTCCCAGGGCCTCTTGCAGCACCCACAGTGWGAGTGTCCAGCCAGGAGCACCCCAGCCCATGCTCCCAGCCCATGCCCACGACTCGCTCCACAAAGTGGCAAAAGTGCCCTTGAAGGGTGCCCAGTACCCCTCACCCTGATCACGTTGGCCCCACACCACCGAGCCAGGACCCCCTCTGTCTGCACCCCATGGCAGCAGCCCCCACACCTGCGTATCTTCACCTGTTGTGGGGACTTGCTCCTGGTCTCTGCCCTCAATCTGCCCAGCGCCAGAGCCCACACCTGTATGCACAGGCGCCCATTTCTGGGCAGACCTCTCCATGCCCACATTCACTGCTTCTCAGCTGGCCTGCCCAGCTCAGGCTATAGGCTGGGGCTCCTTCTGGACCCCACACACTCTCTCCTCCATGTATCAAACCCATTTCCAACGCTGGTCCCTAGGGAGCCTGCAGGACTGGCTTGCCCGGCCACCTCCCACTGGGCCCTTACCCCCCCCCCACCCACCTGGCCACAACCCACAGCAGCCTGCTCCCCACAGCCCCCTGTTCCACCGTGCTGCCTCTCCTTTCCCCTGGCCTCCTTTGCTGCCTCTCCCCCAGTCTGGCCCCCGGTGCTCCCCGGAATTCCTCCTGTACTGTGGACTCCCAGTCTGCTGGTGGCTCTGAGGCCTCTGACCCTTGGGGGCATGACCATTTGGCTGTCCTCCCCAGGCCTCTGTGGTTCCATGGAGCCACCACCAGACACTCCTCAGGCCCTATATAGCCACATGCCCCGCAGGGCAGGATGGCCTGTTCTGCATCGAGTGGCTGACCCAACATGGTGCCTGGCACAGGAGTGTGGTGGACAGTGAGGGGAGGGCCGGAGGGCGGCGCGGGGCTCACCTGCACTCCCCAGGCACTGCGCATCCTCCGTGGAGCAGGTTACATCCTTGCTTGCACACGGCTGTGGACAGAGGAGCAGAGGCATGGCTACAGCAGCCTGCCTGGCCCACCCGCCCCTGCCCACGGCTCTCACCTTCCTTGCACTCCTTGCCCATCCAGCCGTCCATGCAGGCCTTGTTGCCGTACTGGTCGCAGGTGTAGTGGCCAAAGAAGTCGTTGCGGGGCCGGCAGAACTTGTTGCAGGTGGCACTGTAGTAGTTGTCATCGCAGCGCACGCGGATCTGCAGCTCCAGGTGCGCCACATGGCCGCTGAAGTGGAGGCTCTTCCAGCGGTCTTCGGGGTTGATCATGCCCGCGTGGGACACCCGCTCGATCAGCAGCTCCTCTGCAGGGGCAGCAGAGTCAGCCAGCAGCCCAGTACCTGCCTCCCCCAGGAGAGGCAATGGGCCCAAGGAACCAACCCGTTGGTGGCCTCAGAGGCACTGGGGCAGCAGAGGAAGCCACAGACGCTGCCACAGCTGGGCACATTCTCCAGCCAGGCAGGAAGCTCAGGGCCCAGGGGTGCTCACCTTGCCCTGGCCCACCCCCAGCTCACCCTGGACACATACCGCACACCAGTGGGGTGGGGCCCACCAGTACAGCAGCCAAGGCCATGAGGAGCCCAAGTCCCCACACCTGAGCCCCACTGCTCCACACATGGGCCTGCCCCCATGCCAGTACYCACTGGTACTGCATCCAGCCCCAGCCTCTCTCTCCCAGCAGCCACCACTTAGAACAGCCTGCCCTGGACCCCAGACACAGGGGGGTCAGGCGCCCCGCAGCTGGGTCGCACGTTGGAAGGAGCTGCTGGGCGGGGGCACCCTGAGCCAGGACAACACACAGCCTGGACCCCAGACACAGGGGGGTCAGGTGCCCCGCAGCTGGGTCTCACGTTAGAAGGAGCTGCTGGGCGGGGGCACCCTGAGCCAGGACACTCTTTGATGACTTTCCCTTTGCCTTCGCACCAGGTTGCATCAAGGAACCTTCAGACCCCACCTGGCCCTCGCCATGTTCAACAAAGTCTGGGGTCATCATTCCCCTGAGCCAGCCCACCCCCYGCCAGGCCTCACGCCCTCAGCCCAGCCAGCCTTGTCAAGGACCCTGACGAACTTGCCTGGGCCTCTGTCCACCTCTGGCCTGAGCTTCTGGCCTCCACATGTCCCCAGCCTCGTCAGTGGTGGCCGAGGAGTGGCTGACTCAGCCCACACAGCACTGCCTGGAGGCTCCCCCGGTGCAGTACATCCAAACCACACCAGCCCCTCGYCCCGCTCCTCGACCCCGGCCCACCCTCAGCTCCTACTGACAGCCTGGCCACACCTGACCCTGCCTGCCTTTGGCCCACCCTCACGGGCAGCCTAAGCTGGTGCCAACAAGGAAAGGTGGAGTCTGGCCTTGCCGACCCTGTCCTCCTGCAAGCATCGGGGCCTGGCMTGGCTCCTCGGACGCCAGGTGCTGCCCACCTCCAGGCTCCATGCCTGCTGCCCCTCTGCCTGGGAGGCTCTTGTCCATTTGTTCATACCACAGGGCCAAGACCCTCACATGCCAGCCTGCAGAGGCGGCCACTGGTCCCCCGTTCCAGGACAGAGGGCCAGGGAGGAGACCATGAAACCAGAGGGAGACACTTGAGGGGTGCCCCACTGCACGCGTCACCAACCAGGGCCCTAGAAGAACACGTGCAGCAGAATGGTGCTGGACAAGCTGGGAGTGAGGAGCAGGTGCCCCCCGGCTCTGCCAAAGCACAAAGGTTGGTCCCCGAACAGCAGCTCCATCCCCAGATACCGGCCTCCCCGCGGCCGAGTACAGCCTGCAGCAGCCACCCTCCTGGCCCCCGCCCAGGCGCACTCACCATCGGGGGTGGTGTCGTTGTCCCAGTCCCAGGCCTCCACGATGAGGGTGAAGGAGCGCTGCAGACAGAGGTGCAGTCAGCCCCAGCCAGGAAGCCCCCGCCCCACGCCCTCCGGCCACACCTCCACAGCTCTGCCCTCCTGGCCACACAGGTCAGCTCCTCCTCGGAGCCCTAGAGGCCACATCCAGCCATCCTGAGCTGACTCCAGTCAGCAGGGAACTAAGGGGGATGACCCACCATGGTGGCACGGACAGCCCACAGGTGGCCTGACAGGTGTGCTCCATGTGAGAGCACCCCATGGCAGGACACCGAGGTCCCACTGCCAGACATGCTGTGCCCGCCCTGCTGCCCCTCCACCAGGCACGTGGAGTCACCCCCACAGGCCAAATTCAGGTGCTGCCCCCAGACCGCAGCTTCAYAGCAAACAGGCAAAACCCCTAAGCGCCCCCACCCAGGCCGGGGCAGGTGCAGATGAGGAAACTGAGACCCAAGTGGTCCTGGGCCTGCCCGGCACAGACTCTGCCAGGGCTGCAGCTGCCCCGCCATCTGGCCCTCCTGCTCGGCCACRGGTGCAGCTGAGTCGGTCACTCTGGCAACACAGACCTGGCCTGGCAGAGGGAGCTCGGAGCTGCTCGGCCRCACTGCCCCTCAGGTACTTTGTACAGCCCAGGACCCTCTGTGGCTGCRTCCACACTGCCCAGCACCATCCTCAGGGCAACCATGAGCCCATGAACAACCCTAGGGTCAACCGCTCCATCAAGCCAGGGCCCCTGGGATAGCAGGTCTGACCTCAGTCCACCAAAGGGACACTGCACAGGGCATCTGGGGAGGCGCCCCCTCCCTGCAGCCGGACTGTGCTGGGGAAGCCACACAGCCCCAGAGGCCCACTCTCACTGCCGCATCCTCCCATCGACTCCAACCCTAACTAAGCCTGGCACCCTCATCCATGCCTGGCACCTAAGAACTCAGCTTCCCCAACCCAGTGCCCACCAGCCCCAATCATGCTCAGACTCCACCACCCAGCCTGGCTTCAGGGACCCCTGCCTGGTGACACCTCAAATATGGACAGCTTAGGCCAGCAAGGGAGCAAGGCCACAAGGAGGGATCACCTTGCCTCCTTCTAGAAGCTTCCCAGTGGGGCTCACCATGCCTCTCCATTCCACTTTTTAAATCTTTCTTAAATTCTCCTCCCAGTGCCTGCCACGCCCCCCCACCCCCGGCCAGGCGCCAGCAACTGCCCTTCTCCCAGGGCTCCCTGTAGCCATGAGGACTCCCAGCCCCACCCATAGGACCCAGGCAGTCCCCAAACGCCCAGTCCTTGTCTGCCTGGTGGCAGAGACCTCCTGGGGCTCACGGCTCCCGTGTTCACAGCCACTACCTGGGCACACCACTTCTCTGCCTTGGGGCCCACACCTGGACACCTCTGCCTGGCAGTCCTATCTGCCTCCTGGGGACAGTCGAGGCCTCCAGCCCATTCCCAGGCTCCACTTGTCCCCTGCACTCGTTCACATCAGGCGCGGACCAATCCAGCTCCAGCACGGAGGAGAACTCCTGTCCTGGAGGCCTGGAGAGGGGCAGGGGGACAGGGACTGCCGGGCAATGAGGCGGCACTGTGAGCAGAAGGACCACACAGCAGGGCTCAGAGCAAGGACAAGGGCTGGGAAGCAGCACCAGGCAGCATGCCACACCTGAGGGCCACAGGTGACTTTGTCACTGACACTCCGTAAAACAGAGGCCACTGGGGGTCTGAGGCCAACAGCTCCACAGTTGCTGTAGTTGCTGTGCAGGACATGGAATCATCAAGGCCAAGAGTGAGGACAGGGCCAGAATGGATCTGAGACCACCCAGTGGGCCACACCGACTGGCCAGGGCCCAGCAGCTCCAGCCACACCTGGGCTGCAGGGTGAGCAGGGAGCTCCTCCCAGCTCCCAGGAAACCCACGCCAGCCGCCCAGGTAGGATTACCGCCTCCTTYGCCTGAGCCTGGGGCTCCAGTTACACACTCCCACAGGGACATGAGCCCGCCCGCCCGCCGCCCAAGAGGGCCCCACCGCCCGCCAGCTGGGCTCCCTACACCTGGGCGGCAGGAAGTCATCCAGGGAGAACCTGAGCCGGCAGGCGGGATGGCACCTGCCTCTCGCCCACCTGCCAGGCCCTGCAGGCCCTCCCAGCCCCTCTCTCCCACCCACCAGCCTCTAAGGTTGTCATTTCCTCCCCTGCAAATGACAACCTGTGGCCCTCGGTCTGGGGCAGGGTTCTGTGGAACCCTCCGGACAGAAGGAACAACGGTGTTGTGTGGACGCAGAGAGTTCCTGCTGTTCTGAGGGATGGGGCTAGGGGGCCATGGGGACTTGGGACCAGCAGGGAAAATGGGTGGACTGGGCACAGGTCCGAGACCCCCACCTGCCCAGGTTCCCCAACAAGCAGGAAGAGCCCAGAGCCTCCCCCCAACCCAGCCCCAGAGGCCCCCAGCTGGAGGATGTCATCACTGAAGGCCTTGCCACACATGGTCACACTCCTAGCCAACCCCACCCCACCCCATGATGACCTCTTCCCTGTGCAGAGCCCCGAGGCTAAGTCCAAACCCATCCCACCCCCAGACAAGGCTGGTGGGGTGAAAGGCAGATGTGGGACCAAGTGCGCCACACCAAGGCCACCACCAGAGGCACCCAGGCCAACACAGCCTCAGGCTCACTGCCCAGGCCCTAGCCTCCACCTAGCTCTCTCCACATCCCCAGCGACCCCAGAGCACAGCGCTAGGTGCCGGAGCCAGGAGCTCTCAGCAGACACATTTCCTGAAACCCAAGCTTTGGAGATGCTCAGGCCTCCACCACCATTGTCATCCAAGAGACGGGGGAGGGTCCTCACCCCAGGCTCCAGAGACCCACCAGTGACTAGCCTGAGAGCCCCTCACACTCCCAGGCCCTCACTAAAGGAGAGAAGCGGCCTAATTCAGGCTGAGCATGGGTACAGGGATCAGTTGAGGTTGGCGACCACCTAAGGCTGGTGATTGAGGACCTCTGTCAGCACCATGGCCTTCAGTTCAGGTCCTGGCTTGGCTCTCCAGGATCCCATACTGGCCCAGCCCACTCCCCATTCAGTCCAGACACCACAGAACATCCAGGAAGATGCCTGGGAGTTGCGATCCCTTCCCAACCAAGCCGTACCTGCACACCCACCTTTGCAACTTACCTTCTCCCCAACTACACCCTTAAGGCCCAGAGAAAGATCCCCAGCCATCTGCAAACCCCCTACTAGCTGGGCAGCCCTTCCTCCTCCCRGGTGCAAAGCAGAGCTCAGCTTGCCCCGAAACCCCCGAGCAGGACTCCTGGTCCCAAATGAGAAGGTGTGGAAGGGTCAGACAGGGCAGTACCCACCCCACCCCAACCTCCTGTGTGCAGAGAAGGCGCATGGAGGTGGACAGGATGAGCAAGAGGCCAGTGCTGCACCAGCCCCTAGCTCCAGGCAAAGCAGAGGGCAGCTTGGACCTCACACCTGCCAAGGGCAGCTCTGGAGCACCTATCAGCACAGCCTGGCTGGGGACTCATAAGGCTGGGCCTCCATGGCCAGTTGGATGCATTGGGGCTGGGTCCTGTGTCCACACCCCACCAGCCCTGCCCCTGGCACTCATGGCCCCAACCAGCCACAGAGCCCCTCCCCAGGGGTCTCCCCTGGTCCTGAAAACCCTGCCAGTCCTCTCCTCCCACCCCCAAGCACACCTAGGCCTTTGGGAACCTGGGCTTTCTGCTGAATAGCCAGTGGGGGAGGGGAAGGCTGGGAGCCAGGCTTGGGGCTGCAGCAGCACCAAACTGGGTGCCTTTCCTAGGGTCCTAGTAGAAGGMACTGCTGCATCCACCTCTGGTGAGGACAGCCGAGCCCAAACTGCTAATGGCCATGGATTTCAGCTCCTGGAGTCACCAGAAACAGCCAGCCCCAGCCCTCCTTGGCATCTGCAGGGCCCTTGCCCACCCGGGTCTTCCTACACCCCCAGACCTACCCGGGRCCCATGATCTGCCATGCCACCACCGGCAGCTGCCCTCTGGTACTTGCAGTGTACATACCAGGAGGGTCTACCTCCAAGGAAGCAGACTGGGGACAGGACCTCACTCTGGACAGGGCTCTTGAGCTCAGAAGGTGGGCTAGCCAAGCAGGAGTGGCCTCCAGCTAGACCACCATGTCTCCTCCCTGATCAGTCCTCTGCAGGGTGGGACCCTGGCTGTCCAGGTCAGGGCCAACTATTGACCACCCTATACCTCCCCTAATCCACCAGGCCCCACAGGAAGGCTTCCTGCTCCTCTGAAACCCTCCTCTGGCCACTGCCACTCAGAGTACTCACTCACACCTGTGAACAGCCACAGGCCAGGCATCAGGACCAACCCAGGATGACACCAAGCTCTGAAAGGCACGTGGGGCAGGGCCAAGAAGACAGCCCCCACACACATGCAGCCGGCCAGGGCTGCACCTTTCCACATCCAAGACCCCAGGCTCATCAACTTTAAGAGGCTGAACCTCAAACCAACATGGAGCCACAGGCCACAGACAGCCCCAAGCAAGGTCATGTGCAGAGTCCAAAGTAGCTTCCGGTCGACCTCCCACCGCTGTCTCATTTCTCAAGAGGCCCACCTCACACCCACTCCTCCAAGGAGCCCAGGAGTCTTCGCCCCACCCTCCAGGTTGRAGCACCTGCCTCAGTCCCTGGGAGCCTAGACAGTCCTCACTCAGCCGACTCAGAACCAAGTGTCCCAGTGGCCACCTTGATTCCAAGTGCACCCCAGTTCATAGGACAGAGCTGAACTTGTGGCAAGCTGGAGAAGTGTGGCCGCAGGGCTGCTGCTGGCTGAGCGGAAATACCAGGGTGCTGGCATCACCATGCCAGCTCCAGGCCTAGCAGCCGGGTCGCATGGCGGGAGGGGAGAGGGGAGCAGAGCCTCCGCCATGCGTGCTACTACCCCATGGCTCTGGCCCTCCTGAAGCATTGAGGGAGGCARCTGGAAGCAGGAGGATGGGAGGCAAAGTGGGACTGAGACCTAGGCACAGACACCAGGGAAGGCGAGGGCCTGCCCCATCCCATCCCACATAGACTGGCCGCCTGGCGGGGCAAAGAGCCACGAGGGACACGCGTTGGCCCGTCACATTCCTCCAGGGCCTCCCTGCCCCCATGCCACTGCTGCCAACTCCAGCAGAAAACACATCCTCAGGTAGCGATCTGGAGCTGTGCTGGCTCTAGCCCAAGTGCAGATGACAGGCTGCGGGCCCTGCTCAGACCTGCCCGATGCGCGCTGTGGGGGCRAAGGGGGCTGGGCTGGTGGTAACTGCCGGGGCCCGCCCATGCCTGCCCCTGACCTTTTCCATCTTGGGGACACATTCCCCACTCTGAGGGCTCCGGGTCAAGGAATACCAGGGGTGCTGAGCGGTAGGGGAGAGCAGGAGGGGCTGTGGCAGGCAGGCATCCCCAGTGTGGGCAGGACCAGGAAGGGTGAAGATGGAGAAAACCAGGGCAGCCCACAGAGGGGATGCAGCCTGGGCACAGGGGAGAGCCTGCTGGCCAGCCTTGATCATGCTTGGCCCCAATTTCCAGGCTCTTTAAGGATCAGGACGTCAGGTGGACACACTCCTATGCCTCCCAGTGGCTGGGCCATCCAGAAGACCACAGCCAGGAAAGGCCCTTGAGTCCCGGGGCACCTGCTCTGTCCACTCCCTAATCACAGGCCCCAGCTGCCCCCACCACAGCAAAGACCTACTCAACAGCCATTCCAGTYCCTGCCCCCGCTCAATTCCAGGCCTGCAGACAGCCAACAAGCAGATAAGAACCTACAAGTTCTGGTGCCTCAGCCCTCTGCACCCTACTGCCCAAGGCAGCCATGGGCAAAGGCCTGTCTCCCAAAGCAGGATCCCCATGTCCTCCTCCCAGCATGCTCAGGATGCCCACGCAGGGGCTCTTGTCTGTCTGGCCAACCCCAAAGAAGACAAAACGCCCCCTAGCCTCAGCTTCCCACCCTCCAAAACAACAAAATCAAAACATCAAACTCCACAAGGATCACAGCACTGAGGGTCACAGCACTGGGGCCCACTGTTTCCTCTGGGCATCTTTATTCCAGCAGCAGGGACTTCCGCCAACACACATGCATTAGGCCCTCCCGACCCAGGTCCCAAGCGCCTGCCTGTGCCCCCGGGCATCCAGGAAACTGCAGGGCGGGTGCAAGCTGGCCAAGGGCCCGGGGCGGCTCCGCCAGGGCCTGCCCCAGACTGGCCCCAGCACGCGCGACGCACATGCCTCCGCCGCCTGCCCGGGCCCGGGGCGCCTCGCGCCTCCCCACCCAGACAGACACGAGCGGGGCGTCGCAGGCACACGCCGAGGGCCGCCGCGCACGCGGACCGCTCTGCCTGCCGCGACCCCGCGCCCGCGCCCGCCGGCCCCGCGGCTCCTGCGCGCCCACGTGGCCAGGCGCGGACCGGCCCGCAGAGCACGCGCCTAGGGACCGCCCGCCGCGGGGCGCCCCCTGCCGGCCCCGCCCCGTCTGGGTGAGCGCGGCCAGTACCCCGCGGGGCCGCAGGTGCTGGAGTGCCTAGCTGGGCTCAGAGCGCTGAGGGGGGGGTGGTGGTGGAGAACAGGGTGTGGGGAAGGGGCGCACCTACCGGCCAAGCGAACTGGAAGGGGATAACGACGAGCCCCGGCTCCGGGTCACCACCAGCCCGGGCCCGCGCGCGCGCTCGGTCCCCCGCAGCGCCCGCCGGCGGCAGGTAGAAGGAGTTGCCGCCCAGTACGGGCGTGGCGCCGTGGCCGTAGCTGCAGGGCCCCGTGGGCGTCACCTTGGCCTGGTACTCCTTCAGGCACACGCGCACGTACGTGTCGCACTCGTCGTGGCCGCAGCCCCCCGCGCGCGTCGTCCGGCCGTCGCCGTCACAGCAGGCGCCGCTCAGCAGCTCCCCGTTCACGTTCCGCAGCGCGCTCAGCTGCAGCTCGAAATAGCCCATGGGCCGCGCCACCTAAAAATAAGGCGGCGGGAGAGCCGAGGGAGGCGCGGGCCGGGGTCGGCCCGCCGGGCGCCCGGTTGGGGGCAGCCCTGCTGCCCCGCCCCCACCCCGATAGCCGCGCGCAGCCCCGAGGGCTTCGGAACCGCTGCGGCCCCGAGGCGCCCTCCTGGCCCCGAGGGGCGGCCCGGTGCGCCCTGTCCGCGCCCCTCGCCACTGTGCGCCCAGCTTACCTGCACCCAGAGTGCCAGCAGCAGCAGCAGCCACCGTGGCAGGCGCCCCCGGCCCCGCATCGCCGCCTCGACCCCGCCCGCGGCCCCGCCGCCGCCGCCGCCCGCGCCCGCTCCGGCGCCGCGCCGGCCTCCAGCGCCTGCCCGCCCGCCCTCCAAGCGCCAGCGGCAGCAGCACAGGCGGCGGCGCGGGCGGGGTCGAGCGCAGCGCCGGGAGCGCGGGCTGCGGGCGGGCGTGCAGGGGCGGCGGCGGCTCCGGCTCGCTGCGGCCGCGCTCCGGCGGCCGGCCCGGCTTCCACCCGGCAGCGGTGGCGGCGGCGGCGGCGGCGGCGGCGGCGGCGGGTCCCAGCCTCGGCTCTGCGCGCCCGCGCTCCCGGCACCGCAGCCAACAAGTTCGGGACGAGACTGACAGCTCGCTCGCCCATTCGTCACCCGCGCACCTGCATATGCATGAGGGGGCGGGGCCCCGCTGCGGGGTGGGGCCGGGGGGGCTGGGGGCGCCCAGAGCTTTAAAGGCGACGARGGCGCGGCCTGCTTGCTGAGCGGCGGGCTGCGGGACCCCGGGACGGCAGGGCTGCGGGCCGCGTCCCTGCTCCAGCCCCAGCCCAGCGAGGTGGGGCTGGCACAACAAGGCGGCCTCGGCTGTGCTTGAGTTTCCCCCCCCGCCCCCCCCCCCCCCGGTCAGGAGACAGGAGGTGGGGCGCCCCCTGAGGTCACCGCTGTGGTCCTCTCCCATCAGTGCGCCTCCACCGCACTGTTGCAGGTCCCAGAGGAGATGCCGCCTGCTGCGCAAATCCTCTCGGCCGAGGGATGGGCGCGGCCCGGGGACTCGAGGGGCTCAGCCCCTACTGTGCGCCCCTTTCCCCAGAGAATCGTACCCACCTCATCCCTCCTGCCTCCTCCGTGCCGGCTGCAGGGGGCGCTGCTCCCTTCTGACGCCCCGGCCCTCCCCTCCGCGAGGCACGCGGGTAGAGCCTCCAGTTCACAAATGCTTCTGGGTGCAGGCTAGGTGCCCAGCTCGGCACTGGCATGGGGTCGCCAGGTCCTGCCCTCGAGGAACGCCCAGGCCAGAGGTCCGGGCTTTGGGCGGGGGGCGCAAACAAAAGCCGGTGGAACATGTCCAGAGGGCTGTCTGAAGAGTATCCTCCWGCTGCCGGGTTGCCAAGCCCTCTGTCCCATCCCTCTGCCATCACTTCCTTGCACTCTCCCTGGGTGACCTCTCTGCTCCTTTTACCCAAGGTCAATACCAAGGGCTCCTTGTCTGCAAACAGCCTCTCATCCACTGATCAGGACCCCTTCCAGGGCTGAGGTCACCATGATGGTTGGATATCCCCATACTGGAGAAAGGTTTCTGATCCCACCCCCACAGTAGCTGAGCCGTCCTCTCCCCTGACTGCTCCCCAAATCTCTGGTCCSGGGGATGGGTGTTGATGGGTTGCCCCTTTCCTAGACCAAGTCATTGCCAATGAGGGGGCTTTCTGGAGCAGAACCTTTGGAAGCACAGATGTCCCCTAGATTCAGGGGCTGGGCTGTCAAGAGGGAAGAGAGCATAGAGGTGCTGCCCTCCCTCTCTAGGCTGTGCCTGGTAGCCTGCCCTGGGGAACCAATGCCCTGGGAATGGCCCCACACCCTATTGACCTGCCCTGCATGCCCCCTGCAGGAGCAGGGGCCCCTGAAGGAGAGGGCTAGAGTCCCTGGTGACCACAGCCTCTGTTTCTGCTCAAAGAGCTCCACCCCCACCTGAGTCTCCAGCTTATGGCGGGTAGACAGGGTAGGGGGCACAACACAAGCCAGGCCTGGCCACACACAGAGACCCCTGCCAAATAAGGGAATCTGAGCTGTATCCAGAGCCTTTCAGTCACTTTCTTCCTGCAAAAGGGGGCTCTGAGTGGGGATGCTTCCTCTCCTTCACTCACGTGGAGAGGGGGGTCCCATCTCCATCCCTGCCTATGCCCTCTGCCCTGCTACCCAGGGAGGTCTGGGAAGTCCCTACAAGTGGTAAAAAGGCAATCACAGCCCCTGCCCACGGTCAAGGACCTTTCTGTTCAGGGGCGCATAGGGACTTAGACAAATAATGTAGAACAACAAACCACTTCCCAGAAGCTCTGTGGAGACCCAGAAGGTGGGCATTCAGGTGAGGAATGGAAACAGCATATGTCAAGGCCCTGGGGCCAAAGAAGCTTGACCTGGCAAGGGCCTGGGTGGGAGTGGCAACTAGGCCAAGCCACTTGGAGACTGTAGTCCTCCTGCCGAGACCAAGGGGAAGTCTGAGAGCAGCTGAGCTGGGCAACATGGCAACTTCCATTTTCACCAAGAGCCCTGGCTGCAGACAGGAGAGGAACACAGGGGCAGGGGCAGGGCACTGCCACAGTGCAGGTGACAAGGGCTGGTAGCCAGCTAGCACCTGGCAGTGTAGGGGCTGAGAAGGGGTAATGCATAAGGGAGACAGAATTCAGGCGACAATCTCCCTTGCCCCCCGCCCCCGTCTGCTGCCCTGGTTTCCTGCGCCCAGGCAGTTCACACAGAGCTGTGAGCATGGCCCTCCCAGGAGGGGTGCTCACTGCCCCTAGAGAGGCAAGCATGGTCAGGCGCAGTGGCACACACCTGTAATCCCAGCGGCTTGGAAGGGTGAAGCAGGAGGATTGCAAGTTCAAAGCCAACCTCAACAACAGTGGGGCGCTAACTCAGTGAGACTCGTCTCTAAATTAAATACAAAATCGGGCTGGGGGTGTGGCTCAGTGGTCTGTGCCCTGCGTTCAATCCCTGTACCAAAAAAAAGGCAAGTGTGCCCAGCAGGGAGCAGGCAGCTTCCCGCTGCTGTCCTGCCTTTTGAAGAGCTGGGAAATGGTGATCTGGCCCCTCTGGCCTCCATCCAGGCCCTCTGGGAGTGAGACCTAGGTCTCTGTGGCCAGGGCAGCTAGTGAGCATCTGAGCAATACCAGGGGTCAGTCCCTGCCTTCCTGCCCAGGATGCCACCTGCTAGGTACAGATGCCCCTCCCCCTCAAGGTAACCTTCCTCTCCTGCCTGCAGGGAGCCACAGCCCGGACCTGATGGTGTCCAGGAGGAGCCGCAGGTCCAGAAGGTGCCCTTGGGGAGAAACTGGGCACTATAAAGGGGCTTCTTCCCTCCTAGGTCCCTCCAGAGAGGGTTGCCACAATCCACAGGCGAGAAGTGCTGGGGAGGTGTGCAGGTTCCCAAAAGTCAACAGCAGTGACAGATTTCAGTACATGTGACTCTCGTGCTGCACCCTGCTGGCTTGAGGGGACTGGAGATCCCTGGCCACCACTCTTCCTGGAACCACAGTGTCCCTCTGTCTCTCAGCTTCACCCACCCGCTGCCTGGGGGACCCTTTCCAAAGCTTAGCTTGTGCTGGACAAGGCACAGAGAGAGGGAGCCACTTGGCCTTGCCAGGGGCTTCAGGCCCAGGGAACAYTGCTGGGGACCAGGCTGGGACCAGACAGCCTGAGGTTCAGAGCTGACTGGGCTCAGGAGTGAACTGTGCTTCCGCCAGCGTCCTGTGGTGCTAAATATAGCCATGGGCCAGGGAGGGGAGTTTCCGGTTACAGCCCCCCCCCAACAGTGCCGGGAAATCGATGCCAGCTCCATCAGGCCAGGCAGCCGCGCCTGCTGACCTGCCCATCAGGCTACAGAGCAGACCGAGGGGATGAACTGCACCCAGATCCAGATGCCCAGGGACCACCAGGAGCTGCCAGTGGAAGTGAGGGAGACAGGGTGGGGGCAGCTGGGGTGTGGACAGGGGTCCTCCCTGGGAGTCCTTCTGGGCTTCCTCTGGGCAGGTGAAGCTGAGTGGCCAGGACCCCACTGCAGCCCAGCCCAGTCTGTCTCTCCTGCCAGTCTTGTCACTTGCTTGGCTGGGCTTCCACAGGTCCCACCTGGCGGTAGCCAGCATTTACATTTGCATACAGGTGGTGCTGCCTGAGTGGGCCCCTCAGCACAGCCTCCTCAGGACAGCCTGATGCTAGGCCTCCCAAGGCYATCCAGCACTGTGCTGCAGGTGCCCCCTGGATTGCTGCCCAGGCCAGCAGGAGGGGAGGGCCTGCATGCCCTCCACATTCAACCTCACCTGCCTGTCTGTCTGKCTGGGCCCAGGACAGGGCAGAGTGTGGGAGGGAAGGAGGCCCCAGCCCTGCACCAGCATTTGCTAGTGGATGCCATCCCTCCAGGTCAGGGCCTGGTCCAAGGGGACACTGGACACAGAGCAGCAAGTCAGGATCACAGCAGAGCTCCTGTCCCTCCAGTTCCCGTTCCAACCTACCCAAGGAGACAGCACTCCTAGGTACCTCCACCTTAGGGTCCATGGGCCATGACCCTGCTGCCCCACCTGCCAGGGTGTGGCCCAAGAGCTCACTAGAGGGACTGAGGTGGGGAGGACTGAGCCAGGTGACCATCCTCAGAAAGTCTCAGGCTTGGCCTTCCTTAGAATGCCACCCTGGCCCTTCGTCTGCCCCCACACCAGACAGATCACTTAGCATCTCCAGTGCCAGTAAGGACACCCGCCACARTGAACTCTGCCTTGGTGACCTCAGCCCACTAGCTGGCCAGGCAGCGGTGTGCCCTCCCGCCACCCCGGTGCTCTAGGAGCCTGTGGCCAGAGGTGCCCCTCCGTGGCCCCTGAGCTGTGTGCATCTCGGTTGGCTGGAGCCTCCCGCCAGAGAGCAAGGCTAGCTCACGTGGGCCAGGGCAYGCGGGGTTTGCAGGCAGAGTACACAGGCCAGCAGAGCCCCGATGCTAGGTCCTGGGCCTGGCTGAAGCAGTTCTGCAGAGGGCCCAGGCGCCCATGCCAACCAAGAGTACTGCCCTGGGTCCTCATCATGGGGCAGGCCTGCAGACATCCCTCACACCCTGCAGACTGAGAGGGGGTCCTTCACAGACGTGCACAGTCCAGGGGCCATGAGGGGCAGCTCTGGTCACAGGTTCCCAGAGGGGACAGTAGCCCATTCCCAGGCAAGGCAAGGGACCTTCACTTGCCTTAGGGGCAGGGGGTGCACACTCTTTGGAATGTGCAGCAGCCATGCTGTCCCTCCCAATAGGCCTTCAAGGGCTGGCTCAGCCCCCACT